TCTTTCCAATGATTCTATATCCATTCTGTAATACGGTGACCAGAACTGAACTGCGAAATCCAGGTGTGGTCTCACAAGATGCTTTAACCTGTCTCTGTACTCAAGGTTCCTAATGCCCTGGATTAGTCTTGTCATTCTCCTCTGGATTCTTTCTAGGGATTCTACATCCATTGTGTAGTACGGTGATCAGAACTGCGTAATCCAAGTGAGGTCTAACAAGCGCAAGATACAGTTTTAGGATGACGTCTCTAGTCTTGTAACTAACACTCCTCTGTATGAACCCAAGTACTTTATTTGCCTTGTTACGAGCATAGGAGAGAGAGAGAGAGAGAGAGAGAGAGAGAGAGAGAGAGAGAGAGAGAGATAATAATAATACAATACTAATAATGATGATGAAGAAGCACGGGACAAGGGCGTAAGAACATGTGCAAATAAACAATATCCAATCAGCCGGCCCACGTAGGTACTGGTGAGGGGTAGGGCGAGGCGTGTGGAGGGGGCAGAGGCGTGGAGAGGAGGCGAGGCAAGGAGGGCGGGACGTGGGGGCGAGGCGTGGGGTAGGGCGTGTGGGGCGGAGGGTGTCAAGTGCTTACCCCAGGCCCCAGGTGTGTGTGTGTATATAGAGCAAGGAGACGTGTCCACTTTTGCCTCTCCTCTCTTGTTGCTCCTGTGTGTGTGTGTGTGTGTGTGTGTGTGTGTGTGTGTGTGTGTGTGATGATAGTTCACCTACATCTCTTCAGTTACTTATACTCGCCTCACCTCCACCTACTGTCTCCTCACCCCTTGTCTCTACCACCACGTGACAACACCACCTATGTTTACACCTGTTCTACCACGTGACAACACCACCTATGTTTACACCTGGTCTACCACAATATATCTGACTCTAGTAAGGGGGAGGGGAGGAGGGGGGGTGAGGGGTAGAGTGTATGAGGGAGGGAAGTTCAATAACACAATCACAACAAGACTATCCACTCAACCCCCCCCCCCCTCATCCATCACTTTAAGCACCCTCCCCATCTCCTCCCCTCATATCTCACATCCTCACACACACACCCTCACCTCCTTAATGACTGGTCACGCCCTCCCAATCCCTCAGGGGGCGGGGGGTCTCTCTCTAGTACTCAATTCATAAAGGTAAAAAAAAAATGTAGTTCCTCGACTCATAGAGGTGATAAGTGCTCTCAGGTGTATGGGCTCGATACCTGTGTCGATCGTAAAAATAAATAAACTAAATATCCCATCGTCCACGTGAGTTTACTCTACCACCCACCTCCCTCACCACCACAATACTTATCTACAACCATCATCACTACTACCACCACCACCATTACCCTCCAGGGACAGAGCAGCTGGACCGACAGGTGTGTGACTCAGTGGAACTTCCCCTCGGTACTGTCACGCCTCACTCCTACTCCTCTACCTCCACACCACATACTCCACCATCACACACACTCCTCTACCTCCACTAATACCCTCATACTCCACCACCATACACTCCATCTCCTCCAGCATCACACACTCTTCCTCCACCACCACACGCCACCATCACACAATCTTCCTCCACCACCACACACTCTTCCTCCACCGCCACCATCACACACACTTCCTCCACCACCACCACCATCATCACACACTCCACCACCACCATCACACACTCTTCCTCCACCACCACCATCACACACTCCCCCCCTCACCTTCCCAATCCAATTATCCCAACTTTAACCTCATCAGTCTAGCAATCCAAGTCTCTTTATAATCCACTAAACCCGCCCACCTATCCATCCATCTCCCCACACAAACACCACCAATAGAGTGACCATACCCAGCTCGCCACCCCCAACCCTGTCTTAACAATGAAAATAACCTCCTCTTATAGCCTGGCAAATAAAGGTAAACAAAAGCTAAAATGGCATAAGATGGATAAGGAAGGATAATAAACAATAATTACTTACCGTGTGAGAGAAGGGGGAGGAGAGGGAGAGGTAGGAGGAGGGGGAGTGACATTCTGCCGGGAGGTGGTGGCGGCGGCGGAGACATCCTTGACCTACAACGGTGAGATGAGGCGGCCGGCAGATGCGCGGCTGTGTCTGCCGGTCGCTGGAGAGTGTTGTGATGCCGGACACTGTTATCACACCACTGTATTGTTTATCTCACCATAACACACCACACTGTTACATGTACTACCCTCCACGCGGCGTTCACTGGGGGATTATATACAAGAGTCTGTAACACTGTATCCTGTAACGTTCACTGTATCCTGTCCTGCACTAGTACTGTAACGTTCACTGTATCCTGCACCACCGTCACCACTACAGTGTTCACCATACGCCCACCACTGTACACACATCACTATCACCACTATCAATGTACACGCGATACGCTCTAAAAAAATGTCATGTACGCAGTGACGCCACGGGTACGTACACCACTACCACCACCACAGCGATTAGGAAAGACGTGTTGGTTGTGGGGGCTTCTTATTAACACCTGTCATGCGCTATTAACACCTGCCATGCGCTTATCAGCACCTGTCATACGCTTATTAACACCTGTCGCGCGCTTCTTATTAACATAAGAGCATAAGGAGTCTGCAATAGGCCGGTTGGCCTGTGCATGGCAGCTCCTGTCTAGTTACAACCACTCACTATCATCCATGAATCTATCTAGTCTCCTTTTAAAACTTTCCAGCGTCCCAGCACTTACTACAAAGTTGCTAAGCTTGTTCCACTCGTCCACCACCCTATTTGTGAACCAGTTCCTTCCTATCTCCCTCCTAAACCCAAACTTATCCAACTTAAACACCTGTAATACGCTTCTCATTAACACCTGCCGTACGCTTCTCATTAACACTGCCGTACGCTTCTCATTAACACCTGTCATACGCTTATTAACACCTGCCGTACGCTTCTTATTAACACCTGTCATAAGCTTATTAACACCTGTCATAAGCTTATTAACACCTGCCGTACGCTTCTTATTAACACCCGTCATACGCTTCTTATTAACACCCGTCATACGCTTATTAACACCTGCCGTACGCCCTCGTCTTCTCTGGGGTGTCAAAAATACCTCACAGAATCCTCTCATCAGAGGGAAACCTGAAGGCGTCGCTACAGTAGAGGTTGATCACTACTGACGGAGGAGGGAAGCGTACCTCATAACACACACACACACACACACACACACACACACACACACAATATCTCGTCTCCAATGACCGCCAGCCACATTTACCGTACGTCCTTTAACTCCCACACGCCCACACCGCCCACAACAGCTCCTGAGGGCGTGTTAGAAACCTGTACTTGAGTCCCCAGCGAGTGACCCGTGACAGGGGGACAGTGTAGGGTCCACGGCCAGGCAGGAGACACTAATGGCTGGCTGGCGGGGTGCCGTTGGCCTCTCAGATAACACGCCGCGTTATCTCCAGCCACGCTGATAGCTCCCCCCCCCCCTATCTCCCTCAGGTTGGTGCTGTCATCCGGTACTGTGCGTGTTTAGTAAATATGTGTGTATATGAGTATATCTGCGTGTGCGTGCGTATGTGTGCGTGGGGGGAGCCACGCACCTGCTCCACCTGCGGCTGGGTTAGGGAGGGCTAGGGATATGGGGGAGGGGGGGGAGGAGGTTCAGCAGCTGCTCTCTCCCCCCCTCCAGGTGAGTGTCAGAGGGGCGTCAGGTGAGGTAGTGGTCCTCCTCCCAGTACTACACCAGCAGCAGCTGCACGTCAACGCCCCCCTCCCTAACCCAACCAGCCACTGTACCCCCTCCCTAACCCAACCAGCCACTGTACCCTCCTCCCTAACCTAACCCGCCACTGTACCCTCCCTAACCTAACCTGCCACTGTACCCTCCTCCTAACCTTCTCCTCCAAACCTATAGCTTAATCTAATCCAGCCCAACCTAACCTCCCTAAACCTAACCTAATCTAGTCTCACCTAAGCCTAACCTAACCACCTAAAACTAACCTAACCTTCCCCATCCTAACATTACCTCCCCAACCTAGCATCCCCTAACCTAACCTCCCCTCAGTGTGTTACAGCAGAACCACACCCCCCAATACCATTCCCAACTCCACAACGAGAGCCCAAACACCATAACCAACATGCACTAATGACCATCAGCTACACCCCAAGGCAAAAGGTCAAAAATAACAAAGCAAACAAATAAAGAAAATAAATATGAAATAAACAAATAAATAAATAGAATAAAAATTAAACCTGAATAAGAATCACCACGTAAACAATAAATCGAACAAATAATAATAATAATAATAATAAACTAAACTTACCACCATCAACAGAGCGGCCCGGGGAGGAGGAGGTAAAGCCACGCTACTAACACGGTACAGTACACACAACACAAAATACTAAACCAACAACCCCCCCCCCCCAAGCAAACAACACAATCAGTATTATCAGTAGCACACAATGGATGGATGGATGGATGGATGGATGGATGGTTACCATTTCCAGTTCACACTCGATGATGGGGGAGGGAGGTGTGAGGCGGGGTGTGGGAGGTGTGAGGCGGAGTGTGTAAAGGAACCTAACCTAACCCCACATCATCCCTCTCTCCCACTGGAGCACCACCGAGAGTTACGTGATGAGGTACTGAGTGACAGCAGGTCCTTGAGACACTCCAAGTATCGTGGTCCCAGGTCCTCGGCAGTGGTCACGTGAGCCACGATAATGACTTAGGCCTCACCCAAACAGTTATAACAAATACCTGTCCTAATGGGTTTGAAAACTCTCACCCTCTCTGGTACTCTACCATACACCTGCACTAATACATACGAATAAATATAGGAGACACATCGTGTTGAGGTACAGTTGTTGTATAACAAGAGCGGCGAGTGTCCCCAATACAGTACAGTACAGTACAGTACAGTACAGTACAGTACTGTACTGTACTGACCAGTGACCAACCTCCGTCCTGGATAGTGTGTGTCAACATGGGTGTAAATCACAGGCTCCTGCATGACACAGGGTACTCACCTGGAGCTGAGAGTCGTTGGAGTTGTGCGTGCGGTCGTGGACGTGGACGCCCAGGTAGTCGTCATCGTCGTCATCACCGACCGCTAATAATTTTTTTGCTGCTGGAGGTCGTCCAGTAGACTTGCGGTGCTTGGCGAGGGTGCCGAGCGTGAAAAGCTTGCCGTTCTGGGCGAGGAACCCCCGCTGGAGGGCCCGCTTGGTGGCGTGGCGCACGAGGTTGGGTGTCTGGGGGTCGTCGAGGGAGGTGCCTTGACTCTGAAGGTGGGTGGTGATGTCCTTGAGCGTGCCGCCCTCAGTACCCAGCTCCCGCACAGTCCGCACCACCTTACCTACCAGGTCAGCCGCCCGTGAGCTGGCCGTGGGCGTGCGGACACTCACCCGCCCTGTCCGTAGTGGCGGGTTCTTGGGGTCGGCGTACGACTCTATCCCTTTGTTCTCGATGTAGAGGATAGTGCCCGCATCCACCTGGGGAGGAAACATAACACTTGAGTCCTTTGTTGATGACGCCGCCGGAGGGACCTGACCGACCTTGGCTTAGCCCACACCCACACCACTACCCTACCCCTCCACCCACACCACTACCCCGCCCCACCCATGCACACCAGTACCCCACCACCCGCCCCAACCAACCCCACCACCCACACACAACGCCCTCCCCTTCACCCACACTAGTACCCCCCTGGTCCACACCTTGTCTTAGAGCCTCCCAGTCTGCGTACGTCCCCACTAACCCCTCATTTCCCAAGGCTGTACTCCTCCTTCTCAACTTCCTCCTCTTTTCGTCTATCACCAAATCCTGCCGTTGTCTTTCTCTCACTTCTCACCTCAATTATTCCCCCCTCACCCTCCCCCTCAGCCCTATAGTTAACATGTCCACAAGTCATCACCTGCCCTACTCGACCCGTCGGTGGTGAGCGTCTCCTAGTCTGTCTACGTGTCCAGCCACCCCCAAGGCTTGTCACACCTAGCGTCGTCTCCTGTTGCGTCATCACCTACAGTACACACGTGCCTCCTGCAGTCTCTACTTTTACCCACACACCTCCCATACAGTCCACCAAGCTGTGAGTACAGTACGGTACTTGACTTTACTGTGAAGGTGACCGAGTACAGTGCCTCAGTAAGGAAGAATTAGTACTGTACTGTATAAACAAAGCCGTCAGGACTGTGAGAGCCACTTTCACTTTGATCACACCCATACATAAGAGACCTTCAGATACCCCCACCCACCCCCCCACAACTGCCCTTGTTCGACTGACAGGAGGAGCCTTGTGTCGTCGTCCCCTTCACCACCAGCAGGAGGTGTCAGGAGCCGTAGTGAAGGTCCTCCTCCCCAGCAGCGGGGCGCGGGACCACGTCAACAACCCCAGGGGAGGCGGCCACATGGCGCGACGGGGCCATGTAAACACTACCACGTGCTCGGTGCCTACTACACCCTCCTCTTTGTCTCACCACGTGTTACCTCCCACCACCTCCTCACCTGCCTCCCCCTCCTTCACCTGCCTCCCCCCTCCTACACCTGCCCCTCCTCTACAAGACCACGACCCTCCACCTCCCTCCACTTACTTGACCAGTCCAGCCAGCTGCCTCGTTTATATAACCTTTCATGAACCTCCCTCCACACCATACTCCCTCCCTCCCTGCAACCTCCACACCACTCTCCCTCTCTCCAGCCTCCACACCATAACATACTCCTCCAACCTCCACACCATACTCCTCCCTCTCCAACCACCACCATACTCCCTCCTCCTCCTCAGCCTCCACACCCTCCTGCTGCCCCTCCAGCCTCCCACACCACCTCCTCCTCCTCCAACCTCCACACCACACTCCCTCCTCCCTCTACACCACACTCCTCCCTCAACCTCCACCACCACCTCCCTTCCTCCTCTACACCACCTCCTCCCTCCAACCTCCACCACCTCCTCCTCCTCCACACCACCTCCCTCCTCTGCACCACACTCCCTCCCTTCCTCCAACCTCCCACACCACCTCCTCCCTCCCTCTACACCACCTCACTCCCTCCCTCCACACCACACACGCTCCCTCCCTTCCTCCACCACTCATGTCCGCTCCCTCCCTCCATCCAACTCCACCACACTCCCTCCTCCCTCTGCACCCACCTCCTCCCTCCATCCACACCACACACCTCCCTCCTTCCTCCAACCTCCACATCACACTCCCTCCCTCCATCCAGCCTCCACACCACCTCCCTCCACTCCCTCCCTCTACACCACACTCCTCCCTCCTCCACACCACACACACACTCCCTCCTTCCTCCAACCTCCACATCACACTCCTCCCTCCATCAACCTCCACCACTTCCTCCCTCCATCCAACCTCCCACATCACCTCCCATCCCAACCTCCCACACTCCCTCCCTCCACCACACACACACTCCTCCTTCCTCCAACCTCCCACACCACACACACTCCTCCCTCCTCCATCAACCTCCCACCACACTCCACTCCCCTCACACCACACTCCCTCCCTCCTCCAGCCTCCACTCCTCCACTCCAACCTCCACACCACACACACACACACACACTCCCTCCCTCCCTCCCTCCTCCAACCTCCACACCACACTCCCTCCACTCCCACACCACACTCCCTCCCTGTCAACTTATCTCCCTTTGCTGTCTCCCTGTCAACCAATCTCCCTTTGTATCCCTGGTAATCTATCCCCGTTTGTCTGTCTCCCTGTCCACCACAACTGTTGCTGGCTAGAATCAATGGAACTAGACGAGAACAAGAGGTAAAAGCTCCTAACCTAACCCAACCTAACCTGACACCAACCTAAACTAGACACACATCACAAACCAAACCAAACCAAACCTACCCTGACACCAACCAAACCTAACCTACCCTGACACCAACCAAACCTAACTTAACCTACCCCTACCCTACCAAACCTAAAACCTAACCCTGCTACCCTGACACCAACCAAACCTAACTTAACCTACCCCTACCCTGACACCAACCAAACCTAACTTAACCTACCCCTACCCTGACACTAACCAAACCTAACTTAACCTACCCCTACCCTGACACCAACCAAACCTAACTTAACCTACCCCTACCCTGACACCAACCAAACCTAACTTAACCTACCCCTACCCTGACACTAGCCCAACCTACCCTGACACCAACCTAAACTAGACACACATCACAAACCATCACCAACCAAACCTAACTTAACCTACCCCTACCCTGACACCAACCAAACCTACCCCTACCCTGACACTAACCTAACCTACCTACACCACGAAGCACTACACAGAATCCTGACTTTGAACTCATACTTAACATCAACCCCAGATGTCCTCAATGATAGAACCCACTGTGGATCCCAGGACTCTCTCTCTGAAGGAGATACAGATGAGTACAGAACATAATCTTACATGGACCGTCCTATCTATGTACAGGTTTATTGGTTAGATAATAGTTTAACCCTTTGAGGACAATGCTTTAACCCTTTGAGGACAATGGTTTAACCTAATATTAATAACAATAATAATAATAATAATAATAACAATAATAACAACAACAACAGCAACAACAACAACAACAACCACAACAACAACAACAACAACAACAACAACAACAATAATAATAACAACAACAACAATAACAATAATAATAATAATAATAATAATAATAATAATAATAATAATAATAATAATACAGTAATAATAAGAAAAAGAGAAAATAAACTAAGGCTTAACCTTCCATATCAGGATAGGTTAAAGAAACTAAACTTGCATTCCCTAGGAAGACGAAGAGTGCGGGGAGATATGATAGAAGTATTTAAGGAATCAATAAAGGGGATATAGATAAAGTTCTTATAATATCAGAGCAGGATAGGACTCGTAGGATTTAAGTTGGATAAGTTTAGGTTTAGGAGGGAGTTAGGAAGGAATTGGTTCACAAATAGGTGGTGGACGAGTGGAACAAGCTTAGCAACTTTGTAGTAAGTGCTGGAATGCTGGAAAGTTTTAAAAGGAGGCTAGATAGATTCATGGATGATAAGAGAGTGGTAGTAACTCTCGACAGGAGCTGCCATGCACAGGCCAACCAGCCTATTGCAGACTCCTTATTTTCTTATGTTCTTAAGAGACTCATCATGAAATATATTTATGGTATAACTCCCACTACTGTACTGTACTGGTACTGTATATATCAGGCACAGAACTGGAGGCTACGTCTTAATGGAAATAATTATCTTGAAGGTCAAAAGTTCCCACACACCAAAAAGTTACTGTAGTGGTCTAGTTGGCAAGGAATCATTATGTGGTCAATTAGTAATGTCTGTTTACCTCTCCTCCTGGATCATGAACCCAGAGATCCAGACTCATGAATCCTGAGCATTTAAGGAGAGAATAAAGAATCGGTCTACTGGTTTGGGTTCACGGGTATGAATCTCTGGGTTCGTGGTTCAGAGGGAGAGGTTAACGGACTTTAGTATTTGACTGTACATCCCGTTATTATTATTACTTGCATTAATATAACTTTCACTTAAAATGATATACTTTAGCTCAGAGGCGACCATAGTGTTGTGACAACTATCTCACCTGTGCCTGAAGATTGGTCACCACCAGGTCGGGCGGCACGGTGTACAGCTGCCTCATGGTCTGGGTGATGCGTTCTAGGTTTGGCCGCTGCTTCTGAGACTTGATCTTGGCTATGGCCGAGAGCAGGCGCTGGAGCCATTCTTCGGAGGTTATCGAGGGGGTGCTGCTACCGGCGCTAACACCACCACCACCACCCCCCCCGCCGCCGCCTCCACCACGGTCCCGCTCTTTAGGACCCATTGTGGCTCACTCTCACATCATTAAAACTGAAAAAGATAAATAAAAATAAAAAGTGATCAGCAACACAACACAAGACAAATCTCTACCCCAAAATGTCCTATGCAAGACTTTAATTACTGTTCAGGTGTAAAACATACATTAATTTAAGAAAACTTTAAATAAACAGATACTGTAAATGATTCAATAAAGATGGACTGAAGTTTGTCAATATAACCAGACAGAACAAGTAAGAAACATCATGTTATCACAGCAATAATATCACTTAACAAATTAAATCATTCAAAATATATTCTTGAAGGCATCTACCATCCTACTGTACTGTGCTATATGCAGCCACCCAAGACCTCGCTACTGTTAATGATGTAAACAGTAGCAGCAACGTTAAAAAACTTGCACGGCGCTAATTGCCAGGGAACACGTACGTCCCGCAGTCACCGGGGCAACTAGCCAGGTGGGAGGTAAATATTCTTCACATTTATTTTGAACAAGACGGTGGGCGTAGTGTACGGCGGTGAGACGGGGGCCGGGGACGCGGTCACGCACGACACGCCAAAAGTAAACCATGAGATAATGGTCGCTAAACACCGCACGACACGCCAAAAGTAAACCATGAGATAATGGTCGCTAAACACCGCACGACACGCCAAAAGTAAACCATGAGATAATGGTCGCTAAACACCGCACGACACGCCAAAAGTAAACCATGAGATAATGGTCGCTAAACACCGCGACACGCCAAAAAGTAAACCATGAGATAATGGTGAGATAAGTGGTCGCTAAACACCGCACGACACGCCAAAAGTAAACCATGAGATAATGGTCGCTAAACACCGCACGACACGCCAAAAGTAAACCATGAGATAATGGTCGCTAAACACCGCACGACACGCCAAAAGTAAACCATGAGATAATGGTCGCTAAACACTTCCCAACACATACGCGAGGTCCTATAGATGGCACGGGTCCAGACTCTGAGCTAAGAAAAACTTACCTGTAAACTGGGCAAGTAAGTACAGTACTCTTGAACGGTTGCCCAGTGGGTGGCTACCATACACCGCTGCCACGACTCTGACGGCTCTCTGGTCGAGTAATGTACCGTCACAACCTTTAACGTGTCACCAATACGTTAACGCTCAAACTTTTCAACAACAAAATATGATGTTCCACTAACACTGACAATTAATTCACTCACTGCACAATAATGAGACTTAATTAAATATAACTTATGAACTGCAAACACACAGTTACTTCCAGAGTGCAATTAAGTATGTATATCTGTAGTAGATCATCTTCCCGCGGGGGAGACGTCCGTGTTTATCTCACCACGAGCTCCTACAGAAAAGCTGCCACAAAGTTGATAACAAACAACTTGGCACGACTGTGAGCTGTGTCTGGCACGAGCCTGAAATGACCCGGCCACGACTACTGCTCTCTCTCTCTCACACACACAGGCTGTGATGCGTCCATGTTTTGTGACGTTGCATCAAACTGTATTAGCGTTACCTTTTGACATTTTTTTTAATGCTTGTGAACACATAGCACTATGACATTGAATGTTCATTTCTGCGGTACGACGGTTGTTACTATATTTAAAAAAATGATTTATCGAGGGTCTCTCTTTTTAGCCCCAAGCTAGTCTATTTACGGCTGGGACGGCGACAACCTTTAAGTACATTAGTAGAATATCCGTATTTACAATGGACTTCCAAAATAGTTATATATAAAACACGGCAACAATGAAACAAATTGGCAACACCAGCTCCTGCGAGGACCAATCACAAGGCAGCGAGATGCGCACTTGGCACCAGACTATACCTCAGCCCCAAAATGCATTGTGGCAAACATTAATAGGCATGGCACTACATGATCAAACATGACTCGCTTAACCAGACACCAATATCTTATAATCAAATGGAAATGTTCTCACCTAAATTGAAGAGTCAACAGGTAAATAATTCAACTAAAACAATAATTTTTTTAAATACAAAGACATTATCTAGTCAGTAGTGGCTTTTCCCTTCAAGGACTTCCAGACTGTGTCGTCCTACCAGAAGCTGTAGCCAATATCAGCCCACCAGCCGCAACTAACGGTAACTTCCCCAACACCAGGACCTAACTACACTACCACTTGTTAATGAGATGATCAGCTGAAACATATCACTTAGCAACAGCCCATAGCCTCTAAATTAGCAACTGAGGCGACTTAACCCTGAGGAGGCCTTGCCAAATACGGTGATCTTCAAGTACACATATTCTCATAAATTCACGGTAAACATCCCATCGGGAACACACGACGGCAGTGTTTCAACAACGGGGTTATAACATAGGAACAGACACGTATAAAAAGAGCTTCAGGTCCTGGTAAATATAGCTGATGTTGCTTGCTTTCAATATAACTGCTTCTTGGAGTGTGATGCTGATAACCTGGAGAACAAATTATCTACGGCAGAGAAGACAGCCACCCCCCCTCCTCACACTACGATTGACACGGGCTACAGTACCGCCATCACAGGAGAGGCACATTGGAACCTTTTATTTTTTCAGGCTGTTAAAAAGAGAGGGAGGAAGGACTAAAATTAGACCCAGTGGAGCCAAGAGCCGCCGCAACACCAGTGGAAGACAGAAGGAACGCCGTGTATATAAGCTACGTAGTCCTTTTAGTGGTACGTGCATCGATATATTACCCACAGTACCAATAACTTATTTAATCAGTATAATATATCAAATGCCACTAACTAATACTAATCATCCCCAAGATCCTGAAGCAAAAGAGCATTTTAATTACCATACTGTACACTTTCATTTAACTTGAAGGAAAAAAATTTGATTACCGACTGGAAATTACTCGTCATGTAATTAATTGTGGAATAAAAGTTTTGTATCTCAGGAACCAATCTGGGATATATATACTGTACCATATAATAAACAGTATTTACATCATGCGTTTATACTTTCACCATGTACTGTAATATGATATACTGTACTTTAAATACACACCGGTTATTTCACCAACAAGAAATCTACTGAAGCCTTGAACTAAAAAAATTGGAGATGCAGATAGTCAATGAAAATCACATTTATTTTTTTTTTTATGCCAGGTCCCACAGCAGCAAGTCTATAAATATATCCGGAGACTTGGGCGTGACGCTGCCTCTGCATACGATCACATGACACACCAAATCCAAACATGGCTGAGAATATCCTGCGCACTCCAACGCCCTAAACCCTCCCTCGTGCGCATTCCTCCCGATGGGCTTCTACCCAAGATGGAAGATGACAACTTGCTGTCCTTCAATGCATTCTTCCCCAGACAAAGACCAGCCAGTTGAAGGCGGCAGCTCGACCCATCACGACACTTCTTCCTTACACATCACAACACATCCTACTGCAGCATATATCACATCAGGTCATTTCCCTCTGCACAAACATCACCTACAGCACACCACTTCCCTGCTGTCCCACCTACTCCCTATGGTGTCTTCTTACTCTTGTGTCAGGAAGCCATATATAGTTTATCATACTGTACAGGAGGTATGCTGGTATTGGCAGGTCCTACTATAACAAGTCTCTCAAACCTTGTATCTAAAAATCTCAAGTTTAAAACAATATTACGAGACTTTAAAGACTGGTACCACCTACCAGTCACCACCTAGACGACTCTCACACACCACCTGAGGTACAGCAGCTATGTGTAACACTGACATAGAGAGGTGACACACAGGTAGCTCTACTGTCCACCAGGTATACAGAAAGCTACATCTCCTCTTAGTACCTACAGTATAAATATTTTGTCTGTACTACATTAAGCTACATGTATACAGTACTACCCAACTACACCAATACTGTAGCTACTGCCCCAATAGTACAATACTATCTTGTGCTACATTACAAGCAAGACTATTCACAATGTATTATCTGTACTGTACACTACCAACAGAGTACAGTACCTCCTCATCTACCTACTGTAGTAAACATTCCTCATCAAGGAAAAGAATTACTCTGTATCAACACAAAGCTAAACATTTGATGACAACACTAATAAGATTGTTTTTAATAATTCACTGATACTATACAGCAAACCTATTAAATCAATGTACTAATAACCTTTTAACCAATAGTCAAACATGCATAAAAGTTACTATACATGTATTGGTAACTAATATGACAGCTGTGTGAGTCTGTAAACGCTGAACACTTATAGTTGGTAGTCTGTAAGTTAATCTATCTTTTTACATGACATAAATATTCCAGGTATTGCCAGACACATCCGCAGGCTATGATATGTTAGGTGTTCAGCCGCATAAACAGACTCAGCGCACGGACAGCAACAAACACAACGACAAGTGTTACAAGCGTCATTTAAAGCGTTACAAACATTTTCTTTATCTTAGTAGTAGTAGTACATTCAACAGTATCTCACCTAAGCTAACACCAACACTAACCAGGCCACGAATAGACAAATCCATACACTACGACACCACACACCACAATACTCTACCACCACTGTCCTAACCTTGTCACCATTTCTCAACATTACTTCTGAATAAAACATGAGCTTCAACAAATAACCAGAAGCACTAATGCATATATATATAAAAAATATTACAATAAAAAAAACACACACAAAAAAAACACTGATACTTCCATTCATAAAAAACTATTGAAGGTTCTCACTGATGCAACTTGGTGACCCCTGACCAACCTAACCCTGATTTTATTATGTACAGGATATCTTTTATAACACTCTGTACTGTAACGACCATACCACACTATATTAAGGTAGAAAAAAGCTTGGCTGGTATTGGCTACGAGGAACAACAGTGTATAAATAACATCTACTGTACATATAAGAAATATTTAATAGTAAAATACTCAAACACACTCTCCCCCCCCAGTCTCTAATCAGATTAATACTGTACTGTGCACTTAACTACTCCTTTGGCTAATTAATCTTCTAATGACAACAATGAAGGTGCATCGGCGTAAGTTAATTACCGTACAATAGATAGCGCCGGCAATAGACTAC